GTAAAGTTGCAACTTTTGCTTCCAGATTCGTAGACTCTACTTGTGAAGTAGTAAAATTTGCTTCTAAACTTGTAGATTTATTTCTCCTTTAGCCATACTTCTTCATTTAGTTCAACCTCATTCTCAATGAGAGAACTAAACAAGACATCATATGTCCAAGAAGTATCAATGTGCTAAATCAATTTCTATAATATACTTCTTAAATTGGACTATTTCCATTCTTTTACCTTCCGACTATATGAGGTAGTTTCTAATCAATTGGAATTGGTCCATTTAATTTGAAACATTTGTTGTTCATAACAACTTTTAGTATATAAGTAGTTCTAGGTTTGAGAAGTAGCAACTTGTTTGCATTTCTTGGTCCATAACTTCTTAATGCAATCCTCATATATTCCTAAACCTTTCCCATTTGAGCCACTTAGAACACTTCTCTTAGGTTCAAAATGATGCTTTTCTTAACTACTTTAAGCACTTTTCATGATTTTGCTAAGTCTATTCAATCATTATTTATAATAGAGTTTAATCAACTATTTAACTCTTATATAAAGTGGATGAAGAATAACGTCATTTGATCAACTTTTGATCATAGAGATTTCCAATCACTTTCTTATATTCAATCATATTGAAGATAAGAGATTTTATTGGATTTTTATACTTGTCTTTTAGAGGGTTTGTACCTCCCATCTCATTATATCCCTTGAAACACTTTTCAAAATGAAAATGTGTTGGCATTTTACTCAAACATTTTGAATAAAACCAACCCTAGACATGTGACATGGATTTCTAAAACTTGTCTTTTAGAACCATTTTAGCAAAATTGGAATATAGGTTTATGGATTATCTTTTAAACTTTTGAGAACGTTTCTCAACTTTATTTTCAATCGAGGAGATTATATATAATAATTAAATTAGAACGACATGTTACTTAAAGTAAACGCAAAATTCAATTATGTTTAATAAAATTTAAAGTACCATAAGCGGTTTTAAAACTGGTAACTTTGAAGCATTTATTCAATTTAATTGATCCCTATTGAATAGAATGATTCCAAGATCCTTTATTTGTGCAATAATTGACCGGACTTTGGCCCTACCATCAACTATTACACTTTCAAGGTGAGTAAACTCTTTACTGATTACAACTCTTTATAATTCTTGGTTGAATAATCCATCACATGTTTAATTATTACCCTTAGCTTCAAGGTTCTAAACTCTTTAGGTAACCTTGTTGAGTATAACCAATCAAAAGTGTAAAATTTGTTTTACCCCCACTCCCCTAAGATATAATATGACACCCTTCTTTGGCATGACCCATCATAAATATCAAAGGTTTCATCGGGTTTTTGATTGGAAAAGCAACCTCAATATTACTGGGACCTAGATTCATTATGTTGTGATTATTTAGTGAACTTTAGCGCATCATCACAAAACATCAATAAAATCTAACATGCATAATAAACTGAATGCATAAACAAGACATAGCATGGCCCCTAATCCTAAGAAAACTAATAAAGCAAAAAACTCCCACTTGAATCTTCATGGATCTCATCCACCTTGCTCCTTTGGGCCTTCACTTCATGGGCTTCTTGGATTAACTGCAACCTGTAATACTATTCTATTCTATCTACTACTTAAATAAAATAAAATAAATTACAAAAATATTTAACGGTACGCAGACCGTATTTAGATTAGAAAAATACGAAACGATGCGCAGATCGTATTTAGAATCTATGGGCCATACTAGTCTATATAGCAATAAATAATATCATATATTATAAAGTGCCACATAATAAATCACTCATCATGCTTTCCTAAACTACAACATCGAATGCTCATAATTAAAAAAACATGGCACCAAAATATCTCATATTTTAATTAATGCATTAGATAATATCATATATTATTCATGACCATCAATTAAATATCATGTATTCTAAATTAGTCATGAGACAGAATCAAATCTTATTTTAATCTTAAAAGATAAATCATATTTATCCTCAAAGATTATCCTAACAATGTTAGGAAATTCTACCCTAATTACTAAACAATCACAAAATTTTAAATCAATTATATCCAAAATTAATTATGGGATAATCACATTATTTAAATCAATTATTATCCTTTTGTAATATGCTCAAAATATCCTAATCAATCTTATCCAAAATTAACCACTTTAATTATGGATAATTACCAATTTAACAACTTTAAATATGGATAATATCAAATATAACAACTTTTGAATATTTGATTTTATCCTAAAATAAAATATTTTATCCAAATAAAACCAATTTTATCTTTCAAAATAAAAGATCATATTTTCAAAATATTTTATCTCATCCAAAATAAATCATATTTATCTTGAAATATTTTCAAAACAATTTTTTTTTTGAAAACCGTGCACCAGCCACCGTGGCGTGGCCAGCCGAAGCCGGTCATAGTGGCCGTACACCGTGAGGTGTACGCTGCTCTGCAGCGGTGCACAGCAGCAGCAGTAGTGTCGTGCAACTGTTGCACGGTGCTGCTGTTGCTACACCCCTAACCCGACCTGCTGCCCTGCCCTGCCCCTCCCTCCGGACCACCTGCAGCGGCAGCCGCCGTGGCTACGCCACCCAGCCGCGGTTGCCGCTGCTAAAACCCCCTTTTTTTTAGATTTAAATAAAACAAAACACATTTTGTAAAATTAAATTAATGTTAATGTGGTCCAATTAATTTCAAAATTAAATCACATTTAATCTTGAAATTATGTAACTCATGAAATTAATCCCCAATTTAATTTAACTCTTAAATCATGAAATCAAATAGATTAAAATCATTAGTTACATAGTAAACGAATTACGTCAAAACCAAAACACAAATTTCATAAATTTGGGTTTAGGGTTTCGAAATTATTGAAAAATTAGGGTGGGGGGTTCGAAATTTTCGAGTAATCTAGGGCAAAATTCGGATCTCTTCATGGTTATTTTGAGCATTATTAAATCTCATTTAATCAATTCTAAGAGTTAAATCACATTTAATATAATAATTGACCCATAATTAAATTATTCTCCCTCCTAATTGAATCAAAATTGTGGACTATCAAAGAATTATAGTCAATATGCGTAAATGCAATAGGCTAACTGATACCACTGTAGGGAATTATAGGTATTACGCAGCGGAAAAACATGAATCATATTCATACAGTACCTAATCCCAAGATCTAATGCATAACACATAAAGAACATATAATCGTACCTTTGAAGCGTGATTCCACGTGCGATCGAGCAAGAAAAATGGGAGATAAAGAACCCCAAGCGTGATTCCTCAACTTGGTCCACGGGCACAAGTTAAACCTCCATTAATGCTAGTTAGTCGTGATTGAACGCTTCAATCAACCTTCAACGGAGAAGAGAGACACGACCTAACCACGAACCACCACGACGAACACCACGAGCCACCACGAGGGGGCGCCGCACGTACGGACGTGAGGGGAGAGAGGAGGGTCGTGAGGTGAGGAGAGTGTTTAGGGTTTTGGGACTTGGTTGCTTTTATGTCAAACTTATTGTAAGTTAATTATGACTTAATGCAACTCTAGGCATGGAACTTATTTATAGATCATATCTCTAAATAAGAGTCCATATCAAGCCCAAACACCTTATCCTAAACACACTACTCTAGCCCAACACTCTACATGGTATGTCATAATCTCATGAGGCCCATTAATGGGCCTCTTACTTGTTTAACCCAATACCCTTGTGTGTGACCTCATAGGATCCATTCTATTGGGCTTTGGACCATTTAACTAGCCCAAAGATCATTTGTCATATCTAGCAACTAACAATGACGACCCAAAAGAATGAACTTATTATCTCCATAATAGTGATCCTTGATATATCTAGTAATTGCACTTATCGAAGATATAACTCCTTCATTCTCAGCTTGCTATCAAACTATTCATGGGATGCAAAGGTAGCCATAGCTATAACGACACTAGCAATAGCCTATGGAGAGTTTGGGTTGGTGGTTAAGCTCTTCTCTAGTCACCCTCTCACCTAGTCTGTGGCTCTCCTTAAGCATCTACCTACAAAGAGGATTGTTGAGTTCAGGAAGCTGCCTCAGCAATACATCTGAGCTGAGCAACCACCTTTCTCTGTTGCTATGACACACATTCCTACTGCTGCTTACTGGACTATCAGGAGTGTTGTGTTGTGGCCTGTGCCATACAGATTTTCAGTCTTATTGGCATGCGCTACGAGTGAGTTACTCTTAATCAAAACAATCTAATCTGATCATTAGTTTATTTCCTATCATTCTCCGAGGAAGTAAGTTACGCACTCCATGCAGCACCCTCAAATCTAATTGATTCTGAGATAGAATTTTTCTTCTTTTCCCTATACTTTTAGCCAGCTCACAGTCTCACACTAAAGGTAGCTTAAACAAAGTTTCAATATTGGAGCAAGTTGTCCCCATTAAAGGAACACACCATGATAGCACACAAATTACTAATCTGAAACATCTATAATCACAATATAGGAACAGATCTTCAAAAGGAAAGAATAGCTATCATCTCAAACATCAGTAATCACAAGTCAAGACTAAGAACAATGACAACACACAAACTGATAACAACAATGACCCGCTCAACAGGACATAAATATACGTTCAAGATCGCACGTAAAAATAACCTTTGAATTAAGTTCTGAAAGTCAGCTTTGAATTCAGTTTTGATTTTCAATTATGAATATAATTCTGATTTTCAGCTCTGAATTATGTTATGAATATTTCAGTTCTCATTTTCAGTTTCGAATTCAGTTATGATTTTCAGTCCCGAATTCAGTTCTGATTTTCAGGTCCACTTCACATAAGCCAATATATCTAAAGACCATATATTACATTGAGAAAGATTAAACGTTCATGTAATTTTTTTTAATAGTGTAAAATATAGATAGCATAACATCATATCATAGGCCAAGGGATTCTAATGGATAGAATATTACTATTAAATGACGACTCGTTACATCATAAACTAGCAAAAACCCATGACTGCTCCATGACAATAAGATGGAATACACTTATAAGATAATTATAAATTAATCATAATAAATTCTACACAATATTATACAACACATACAGAGACAAGTCGGGTAACTAACCATCACATCTCATTTTAACATTGATGGTCTGGTGGCAGAAATACACCTTTGCAAAACTCTGTTCATCAGGCTACAAAACTGATACTTTAACAATTTAGTATTAATTAGACAAAGCTCTTTGACAGTCATGAGTCAATTCAAGTTTTCCTTTACAAATAAACATAGACATAATGACCTTCGAATATCCACTTACTCCCTTTCCCTTCCCCAACCCAAGGCCGAACATCCAATTCCTCCCATCCTGCTCCCCAATAGTGACCGGACATCCAATTCCTTCCCTTCCCGCTCCCCAATAATACAACCAATAGAAAGGTCGGACATTCGTAATTTCGCCACCCTCTCAACAATAGAACGACATAAATGAAATATTATAAGCAATCAAACCCAAAAAACCAATTATTGACTACCAGAATCGAAATATTAAAAGAATTTTGCCAAACTTAGGGTTCCTAATTCGAATCAAGGCGCACACCTATAATATTAAAAATACACTACATTCACAGAATCATATATTCACAAATGAATGAAATCACAATTTCAATTAACAATTAAAAAAAAATAGATTAATTAAAAACTAAACCTGAAGACTGGAGTTTTGCTTTGTCAAAGAGAGAGAACTCAGAGAAGGCTAAAGGAAAGCAGGCGAACACCGGTCGGCCGTCGTCAGAGTTTGGCCAACGTCGATCTGAGAGTAGCGCCAGTCCTTAAATGAGAGTAAGGGGAGAAGAAGTCAGTAAGAAGTTAGGGTTCTTCAATGTTTTCCTTTTGTAAAATTGGGAACTGGGGATAAGTAAAAACCAAAAAAAAAAAGAAAAGAAATAAAGGTGTGTAGGCAAAAGAAGCGCAGATTAGTAGGCAAGTGCAGTACCAACTATTTTCTTTTTTATTTTTCGTTTTCCTCAAAAAAAAAAAAAGTAATTTTTTTTTTTGTTCAAAATTAAAAAAGAAAAATACAAGTGAAGTGTGAGTGGTGGGCGCTAATATTAGTAACCGGCCTTAATAAAGCCCCTTAAAATTAATAAGGTCTATAAAGTTTAACTTATTATTTGTAACTGACATTTATTATGCCCCTTACTAAAAGTTGGTCACCCTATCATTGACCTACTATTTGTAACTGACCTTGGTTATACTAGTTACTAATACTAGTTTATTTGTAACCCGCATTATCTATGCCAGCTACTAATACTCTTTTTGTAACTAACATAATTTATGCCAGTTACTACTGGGGCGCTACAAATAGCACTTTTTCTACTAGTGGTAGTCTATTAAATAACACAGTTTTATTAGGAATGTAATAGCCATCAAAAACAGTATTATCATTTAGCTGTTTATAATTAATGACCATTCTAGCTTTACCTCTTTTTTCTTCTACATGATTTCTTATCATGAATACTGGACTATTATGAGGACTTTTGCTATTCCTAATTAGCTTTTTATTAAACAATTATTTTATTTGTTCATCCTGAATATCTTGGTAAGTATAAACCATTTGTCTCACTCTAATAATCTTATTAGGATTTGTTAGAGTTATCTTAGAAAATGCTTTATCCTTTTCCCAATGTTCTAAAGGATTTGTTGAATATAATTTTTCGCATAATTTTTCTTGTTGCTTATTTATCTGATTTATTAATGATGAATCACACTAAGAAATTCTAAGTGCAACCTCTCGTTGTGTAGGAGTAACCCTATCACCATGCTGGCTGCGCGTAAATTCCATTGTCTGATGAGTATAAGCCTTTGTTATTTTCTATTAGGAACAGAATGACCATTAATAGTAAAGATTATTTGATCAATAGGTTGAGTGCATGGAGGGTATAATCTTTGAAAATTATTTTCGATTATCATATCATGACTAGGATGATCAGTTGCCCATAAAATAGGAATAACACATTGAACTCCTCCAATTTCTATTTTTAAATCTTCTATTATCTCCGTATGCAGCATGACACTATTATTAGCAATTCTAATAACTTGCATAGGATTTTTAGCCTTTTTCCACAAGAATTCTGGAAATAATGACCTCTTTCCAAAACATGTAGAACAACCACTATCAATATATGCGCATAATTTATATTTATTATAATCTTTAATGCATATATCAATTGGAATATAAATACTATTAGGATTAGTACTGGATATTTCATTACAAGCTTCCATTTGCATATTAACTTCATCCTCATATACTGGTTCATTCACAATTTTGGTTTTATATCCAATTACCTTCCTTTTATCAATAGGATTGTTTGGATCATCATTTAACTCAAAATTAGAATATGATCTCATATCAATATTATGCCTTGATGGTTGTTTCAAGGCTTTTTTACTTTCATATTTTTCATTTAGTTTCTTTAGTAGAACTAATATTTCTTCTTCATCCTCTTCTGGATTTTCATCACCTTGTTTTCTCATTCTTATTATTGTTGAATTTTGTCTACTTAGACTTGGTGTTCTAAGACTCAGATTTCTCTGTATTTTAGGTTTTGTATTCATTCCAATATGAAGTAATCCTAATTCAATAATTAACATCTTACTTGATATATTATTAACTGCAGGGTTCATAAAGAATTCCTCCCAAGTTTTTTCAATTTCAATTTCATTAATATTTACCTTTATTAGGTGTAATTTTCTTCTTAGGACCTCCTCCTTGCTCATATTTCTGAGCATCGACTATTTGTTTCTTAAAAGATAAGTCTATAGTGTTTTCCAACTTATAAACCACCTTCCATCTTAATTGTATGAGTCGTGTTCCTTTATGCATTTCACTTTTTCTGTTAATAGCTTGATAGCTAAAAACTTTGACGCAAAGGAATCCTCTAAGCTCGCATAATATCTAGGTTCACATATATAGCTTCCCGTTCCTTGACTTAAGTTACATGTGATACCACTAATTATTTTATCATAAAACTCTTTAAGTCTAATATCACAAATAAAACTCAAGCATGCATTTAACATCCTTGCCAAAATCTTGCAAAGGAGTTATGTATACTTGTACTACACCAATACAAATATAGCTATAATTTCCTTTTTCTTTATGCTTTTTAATACTTTTCCAATTTGTGATATTAATTTCGGCTGTCTTTTGTTCACAATCTCCGATTACTATGCTTCCTTCCATTTCTTCACATACATAATTAGTTCTAGTTTTAAAGAAAGAAGTTTTAAATATTTTATCTTTAGTAATCTGGGGAAAATTCCAGCTTTCTTTATTTACTTGATCTAGGTCATTATCTTCAAATGACTACTCAGCTCTTTTTAGTTGACCTATTGCCATTTTGCTTTTATCTTCCTCATTGTCATCTGACTCTGAATTTTCCAACTCTTTTCCTTCCATCATATTATTTATTTCTTCATAATTTTCATCTTCAAACTCATCACTGACTTCAGGTTCTTCATTATACTCATTTTCCTCTTCTATGATTTCTACTATTCCTTTTTTTATTACTTAAAGCCAATTCTAAAGCCTCGTCTTCTAGTATTTCTATGTAATCCCAACTTCATAAGGCTTCCATTAGTTTATGATTAGCTTTCTTACATTCATTAGCATAATGTCCTAGTTCTCCACAAGACCAACACTTGCATGTCTTCTTTTTCTCAGGAGAATATGTTGCCTTTCTGAAAAACCTACTTGGCTTTCTATATTTATGTTTATAATACTTCTTCTTATAGGTTTCTCCTCTTGATCGGTCAAATTTATTTTTCTTATAGTTCTTTCTTTTATTATATTTTTTCTTTCACATCCATAGTTATTTGGGAAATCCCAACAAGTAAGAAATTGTCTCTTCATTTGTTGAGTTCCTGCAACCTCTCTACACTTCTTTTCAATCCACTTTCTAAGGAAAGCAATTCTGTTTCCTAGGGCGTCCCTAGCTAAGAATCTCTCTCTCCATTCTTGATATTTTTCACTAATTTCTTCATTAAGAGGACTGGGTAATTTGTCATAGAACATTCCAAGATTTATTTCATTTTCACCAATTTTATAATAATATGTTTCAAATTCCATAATTTAATCATCAACATATTTCATATTATAGATGGACAAATTACTTAACTTTCTTTGATATTCCATTCGTTTCTCATTAGAATCGGCTCTAGGACCAATAAATTCTAACTCAATGTATTGACACAACTGTCTGAACATTCTAGTAGGTGATTCACTAGCTCTTAATGCAGTTTTGACTTCTTCATCTATTCCATCATACTAATCTTCTACTCAGCCGTAGAGACTATGTTCAATATAATTTAAGAAATTTTCTGAAGTCCATTCAGTATTTAAATTATGTACACTACTCATACTCTTCTTCCATTCATCTAAAACGTCTTGTCTATCTCTTACACCGTCTAATTTAAGTTTATAACCAGTTTGACTTATAGGTTCAAGAGTCACTTCTTCTTGTTTAGGTATATGAGTAGGCATAACCTTGACACTAAATCGGGTAGTCTTCCCTGGTATGTATCTTGGTCGTGTGCAACTTCCTTCTCCTTGGTACCTAGGTCTTTAGATAACATTGTTTACATTAATATTTTCATTGATAATTTCTTCACCAACATCATTATTATCCATTACTCTTTAACCTAGTTTGTTTTCAATCTTTTGTTGGACAACTTCTATGGGTAGAAAGTCTAGATCATTCAACTTCATTAATCCCATTTGTTGATATAAATCTTCCTCTAAAGTAATATAATTATTTTCCTCTATTTAATTATCAGAAGCAATCTCTTTTTTCGGAAATTAAGTTCATGATTTCGTTAATCTTATTAGGGTCTTCTTCCTTAACGAATAGGGCTTGTAATTCAGTTAGTGTTTTCTCCTGAAGATGAGGGCTCATTTTTAGTTTCTTTATTCTTTTCTTGGTTACTAATAGGTCTTTTAGGGAGTGATACAGTAAACTTTTTATTTTTATCTAGATTTGAAAAGGATATTTATATTTATATGGGACAATTTTTTCTTTATTAGGTGATACTTCTTTTCCAAATGGATGCCTAAATTCGTTTGTTAGAGCAAGTTGAACTTGTTTAACCTGTTCATTTAGGTCGCTTACTTTTTTATTAATATCGGTTGTGGTTATTGATATTTTATTTTTGATATTAATACAACGAACATGTATGTTATCAACTTCCGATCTTAATTCGCCAATTTGATCTACAATATAATTAAGGACTTGGCCAAAATTACTAGTATTTTCAGGAATATGATAATAATGCTTAATTCAGGTTTCTTACACTCAGTAGAGGGCTTAGTATTCTCCAGTTTTACTTAATTATTAACAACTCAGTTTCACTCTTAATCGTATGGCTCTGATACCAATCAAACACAGCTAGATACCAACAAAACTATAGTTAGGATACCAACTAAATGTGATTTGATACCAACAATATTATTTGTTAATTTATGATACCAACCGTAATACTATGATGATACCAACGTATACTAGGATGGTATTTCAATACTACTCAGAATGGTATTGACTATATATCTTGTTGGTACTCACAAATAAGGTACTTTTTTAAAAAAAAAATACGAAAATAACCTTACTAGAGACCAACTTGGACTCTATCTACTTGAGGCCAAGAATTTCTGTAGTTTTGACTAGATTAAGTTATTAACTTGTGAATGCCAGGATGTCCTATATTGTTTATTATTTGCATGATGGGCTAAGTTCAGTAATTTTAAAAGAAACTATTGCAAGTTTACACGTATAAGTTTGCGCATAAGATATACAGTACCAATGTACCATAAATTAATATAATTTGTACAAGGAATTTGGGCATGAAAATATACTATTTTGTTATTATGTTGGATTTCTAACTACTTAGTAAACTTTTAAAGGTTACTTTTTCATTTCAAAGCTCATGTACTCAATACTTGTAGTAGTAATAATGTCAAAATTTTAATCTTAGGGCCGATATAGAAAACATCAAAGTTTAAGGGTTGTTCGGTTGAATATAGAAATTGAATTTCCTAAAAAATTCTAAAAAGTGTTTGGTTAGACAAGGGAACTGGAAATTTCTATAGGAAGTTCCACTTATCTAGAGCCCCCTAGGTAATTAAATTCCTTCATTTTGTGGGAAGTGGAAATTCATAGAAATTTCTACTTCCCATGAATTTCCATGAATTTGTCAACCAAACAACTCCAAAAGATTTAATTCCTAGGAATTGTAACTTCCTATGTTTTTATTTGTCAACCAAACAAGCCTTAAGACTTTGTATGAATGAAGTGAAGAGTCCCACAGGGTGCAAATATTTTTTTTTTATTTTTATGTTCTTGTTTGGAATTTTGCAATTGATAAATGATTTGAGATTTAATATATAAGATACACATCCTTTGTTTTCTTAATAGGAAAAATTGTAAATAATAATCCCAACTTTGCCCAATTTTCTTTTAATAATCCCAACTTTTGATTATTAAGATATAATCCCAACTTTAGGGGTTGTTTACTTTCTTCAATCCCTTTGACCGGTTACCATTTGAAAAGGTTAACTTTTTTTTCATAAATGCTACGTGTCTAATCCTAAGTAGCTAAAAATATTTTTTTTTAAAATTAAAAAAAAAATTATAAAAAAAAAAACCCACCCAGCCCCCACTTCCCTGACTTCCCCAGAACCACGGCCCACCGGAATCCCAAACCCAGCCACCCTATTCCCCTTACCCCGTCGGAAAAGTAACCTCAATCCTCCCTCCGGCCAGCCACTTCCTCCTCTCGTCCCGTCGCCCCTCCTTTTCCTTCCCCTTGAACCACCTCCTAACTTCCCGTCAACCCACTCTCTCCTCGAAACACCAACTAAAATACTCCCCCGCCCCTCCAATCTCCCACGAAATCCCTCCCACCGCCATTAATTCCTTCAAACCCTATCAACAACACTCCAAAGAAAATCGTCCAAATTCATTACAAAATTCAAAAAAAAAAAAAAAATCAAAAAATTGTGATAGTGTATAAAACATATTCATGGGCCTCAACCATCAGTTTAAGCTTTTGGTTTAAATGGTCCACTAACATGGTATCGGAGCCAGCATAACACAAAGGTCACGGGTTCGAATCTCATCCGCCCCTCTTTCAAAGTGGAATTAATTCGCACCAAGTATGGATGGGTCTGTGTTGCATTCACATTTCCAGGTTGGGGTGGCGGTGGGGGAGGGGCTTGGTGGGGGTTTATTTTATTTTAATTTCTTCTTCTTTTTTTTATTTTTTTGTTTTTTGGACCAATCACAATGTGACACGTGTCACGTAACTTGTGATAGTAGGTCATTGACTTTTGTTCACCAGTTTGGGATTGAAGAAAGTAAACAACTCCCAAAGTTTGGATTATTCTAAAATAATTCAAAGTTGGAATTAACCCAAAAAAATAGGGCAAAGTTGAGATTATTATTTACAATTTTTCCTTCTTAAAATACGTAGTATAAGATATACATCCTTTGTTTTCTCTTACTCTTTTTTTTTTTTTTTGAGACAATTGTTTTCTTTGGCACATTTTTTTGTTTTTGATGATCTATTTGTAAAAATTTTACTTCAAAAATATTTGTAAAAAATTTAAAAGTTAATGTTTTAAAATTATATGTTAAGACAAATTTAACTAGATTGACTTTGCACATTTTCTATTTTACTAATGATCTATTTGTAAAAATTATAAAAAGTTAATGTATTAAAATTATATGTGGAGACAAATTTAACAAGATCCAACATGAGTTTTTTTCCCCTTATATATATAACTAAGAAATGATAATCCAACTATTATTGTACAGTATACACCAGGTACACAAAAGTTGTTAAACCGAAAACATTGCACTTACAAAACAGCTAGAAAATTAAAAAAATACTCCCTCCGTCCCCGATTGATAGTCACTTTTGTCATTTTTGGTGACTCAAAATGTCAGTCACATTTGAGTTTTTCAAATACCATTAATATTATTTTTTTACCAAAATTCTTTAACATTTGCAAATATATTTATGCAAATTTAACTTTCCTAAATTTTACTTTTCCATGTACTTTAATTACTCTCTCTCTATTTTTTTGCATACACAATGTAAATTTACTTTTTCAATGTACTTTCTTTATTTCTCTTTAATTCCCATGATTTTTTTAGCAAAAATGACTATCAATCGGGGAAGAAGACAGTAGAAAATTAAAAATAAAATAAAATAAACAAGTAGCTTCAACTTTAATGTGTTTTCAAAAATCTAATTTTTCATGATATTTAATATTACGAAATTAGATATATTTGATTATAAGGAAACGAAAAATAACATCAAGTTTGGCACATAAATTATACAAGTCGTATAATCTCATTCAGTCATTCTATCCTAATAAGAATAAATAACAGAAAGTTTTAAAAATTACGGAGTAGTCAGTAGTTTTTATAATAGAACATAACCCAGGTTCAAAAATAAGGAAACAGGAGTGACTCAGGATTTTACAAGAAAGCAATTTGTTTACATCAACTAAATTTTCATGCCAAGGTACTTAGTATCAATAAAGTTTTTAAGATCAAAACACTTTACAAACAAATCCAAATCGAAATCGAAAATCCAACTTTTCCAGCACTTCTTGGATCCAAATGAAACCCGAATCATCGATTTTCTTTGATTTGTTTGGACATTTGATTTTGTCTCAACAACTTATACACCCTAGCTCACATAAATAGCAATGCCATGATGCTAAAAAAAGCACTGCAAATATAAGGTAAAGAGTCCATAATTCTTGCATCATTTCGAGTTTTGACTGCCACTGAACAAGATTAAATGTGTTCTAGCAGTTCTGAAGTCATTACATTAGCAATTATATGCAAATTAATAATACCAGAGTGTGCTCTAGGAGTTCATAAGCATGCCAAAATCTGTCGGAGATCTGCACGCCTCATCACCCTACAACGCACTGGTGGACATATCGGCGAATGAATTAATTAGCTGCAACAACAAAAATGTTGTTTAAATAGCCGAAACCTTACAAAGAAACAATAAATAATAACAAAAATAGAGCAGTATATATAAGTATGCAAATCGAAAAAAACATATGTCAAAGGCATTACACTTGAGTATTCAACAGACTTGTATTTAGAGACGCTTCAATTCATAACTAACTAGCTGACATAAATACCCATCAATAATACATATGCACCATTTCTAGACCTAAATTGACATGCACTAATAAACATTCTGATGCATCAGAAAGCAGATGACCCATTAGACAAGGGAATATTATATGTCCCGAAAACTATTGCCATTCTTCCTAATTCCTAATGCAGATATGATTATGACACTTCTGCAAGGGAATGAAGAAAACAACAAAAATCCTAAGCAATGGTAGACTTCAAAAATGTGAGAAACACGCAACACAGAATAACTACGAATAGCAGTCATTAGTTCTTTTTCTGTTCAGACAAGAATTCAGTGACAGAACTAATGCACCAAAACCTCAAACAAGTTCAAGGGAAACTAGTCAATAATAGAAATAAAAAATAAAATTTAAAAATCATTGTTTTCTCAATAGTTTGTTCTGGTCATAGGCACAGCTACAACAGCTCAAAGATAACTAAAGTTATATAATACCCATGAACTCAACGATTTCACAATAGTTTAAAGTTAAGATAAGCAACAATTATAGGTGCTCTCCTACCAAAACTACCTATTGAATTATAAGGTATGATCTTCCAAGCAAAGCATGATAACTCAGCATCTTGGATGCCTTAAAAGACTTACATGCAGTGTGGATTTAACATTTATCACCCGTTAAGATGCCTAGTCGTTTGAGCAACATTTCAGAGAATTTTTGGTACGAAGACATAAACTAGTACCTCAGAACCAGCACAGGATTTTAGCCATACACCAGGCTCAGCTACATTCTTTCTACAGCATTAACTACTCTGCTCTGTACTTTCTACATACTAATTTACTATCCCCTCCCTTTAACCTATCTTTTTATAATACTTATATGAGTCAAAATTGAAGTTCCAGAGCTTCATGTTAAGTTAGGCTCCTGAGTACGTCATCTAACTATGTGCATACTATATTCACAACGAAGAAACTTATGCAAGCAATTAACATCTAGAACGTAGTATGGTCAAATGTTTCTCAGTTGTTTCATACTCTGTCCAATTCAAATTATATTGTTTCCAAGTGTTCAACTCAACAGCTGAGACTCGTACTAATTTACTACTCCCTGAGCTCTTCAGAAAACCAAAGTCACATAAGAAAAGATCTAACTTTTATTTAAAGGTCAGAGCTTGCAATTACTCCATCAAATTCTATACGTAACACTACCCATGTTGGATCCTCAACACTTTGGCATGGGTATGAATACTTGGACATTTCATTTCCTTATTTGACGATTTCCATGAACTAGTAGAGTCTGAGACTTGGACAAATAGCCATGTAATATGAATTCTCAAGTTTTAACATATTCTCTCAACAGTGGTAGTTGCTCTTAGCTTAAAGTATCGTTGGCTGGCCAACCTACTGCTATCTCACTTGTTCCAGAACCCTAATGTTCAATCATCACTCCTATCTCTTCCGGCTGGCCATCTTGATACCCTCTATGGGATAGTAATCAATTAAACATTGCCAGAATGCCAGGGTCTTATGTTGGACAAAAGAATATTTGATGCAGCTGAACAAATATTAATCAGCAACAATTTTATCAACCCTCCATCCTCTAACAGATCTTTTCACTGCTAATTCTGTGACGTTGGAAGACAAGTTCTCCAATGAGAAGGAAAATCCTACCACAAATACAATCAGGATTATAAAACAGCTAGTAAATGGCAGTTGATATTCCTAAATGGACACGATTATGAACCAATTGACAAGTCCAACCCCAATATCTTTTTTTTTTTTTTTTTTTTTTTTTTTGGGGGGGGGGGGGGGTTGTATATAGAGAGCCACAAGGGGGTAATGTGAATTGATCACAGGAGCTCTTGAAATCGGGAAGTAAGCTCTAATCACTTGAGCTATCCCTCACTCTCTCCAACCCCAATATCTTTATTTCAAGGGTCAATGCACCACAATATGGATCCTCTGCTAATACACAACCATTTAATGGCTGGATAAAAATTATTTCCGGCATCACATCATACCATTTTCTGGACTTGAAGAAATATCTCCAATGGTGCCACAATCTGTTCTACTAGAATGTCAAAAGCCAATTCAAACTGCTTAATAATAGCAACCTCACATACACCGGATCCTAACAAATGTCTTTTCCCAACCAGATGAGAGTTGAAAGTTGAGAGGGTCATGCTCATTGGCAGCAATTAAGCATTAACACCAATTCACCAATGAATAAAAGAGATCCAAACTCAGTTGGCTCAGCTAAACCATTCAGCAACACATCTCAACATGGTACACTCTTATCTTAGAATATATTCAAGTGATAGTTTGTTCCGAGTGAGGGGATAGACCAATCGTGAACAACAAATACTTCATCCAAAAAAATGATCACACCATAGGTTGAGCTTGTTTGTGATTGCTTATACGCACTATAGTAGAAGTTACAGAGTCTCCTCCATTCAAATAAGATTTCCCCATATCCTTATTTAACTTTTTAAAGAATTGGTTCATTCGAAAGCAAGTGGATCATTTTTCAAAAGCCCATAGGTTGTCAACTGGAACATATACCAAAAGGCAAATAGGACAAACTAAATGGGACATCCGAAAAAGAATATGAGATAATTTTAGTGAGATGGATTACGAAAATATATTTTAAATGGAAAAAAATGGGTCCTAAAAACTGTAAAATCTAAGAGGATTATAGTTCAGTAAGTATTGACCAGTCAGCCACCCCATGGAGGTGTGCTTTTAAAAAGGACGTTTTCCCAAAGTAAGCTTAAGTAGCAAAATATATACGTAAATGGTTGCGTGGCAAAAGTATTTACCAAACTAAGCTTTCAGGGTAAAACGCTGTCTCGCACAGCGTTTTATGCCCTAGTTTTTTTAATAAAAAATTCAACTTAAAAACGTTGTCTCAGACAGCGTTTTACATGTTGACTTTTATTTTTTAAATTTCGTAATTTTTGATATTAAAAAAAAAAAAAAAATTACACTAAAACGCTGCCTGAGGCAGCGGTTTTAGTGTATAATTTTTTTTATTTTTTATTTTTTTTTTTTTAATTTCTAGTTTGAAAAAAAAAATATTAAAGTTGTTGTGTTCTTGAGCTGCCCCATTTTCCTAGCTTAATTAACCTTTTTTCTTCTTTGTTCTACATGTAATGTTCATGCACTATAGATTAGTGTCTCCTTCTAGGATTTTTTATATTTGGTTTTTACCAATTATTTGACCCTCTTCTTGTTTTCACTCCTTTAATCAAAGTTTCTACTGTTCTTTTCTCCTTCACTTTCACTATACTCCTACCTTTAACCTTTTCTGTCCTCTGTTGTGGCTTTACTTGAGCAACACACCTTCGTTTTGGATGGTATGTAGAATTTGCTCATGAATTGATTTTGTTAAACACAAAACAATGACAGCAATCAAAGCATATGTATTTTCAGTATATTGCAATCATGTGAATATGGACTTAAATACAAAGAGGAGAAGAAGATAGGAAGCAACAATCGTATCCCAACCCCAACCGCAATACTCGAATACGATATGATAATTATCACATATTGATAATTATCCACCCAATAATACAATCATTATCACATATTGATAATTATCCACCCCAAAGAATACAATCATTATCATAATAACGCAATGGTGTATAATATTTTTTTTTTTCTTTTTTTGTTTTTAAACTAGAAATTAAAAATAAAAAAATAAAAAAAAATTATACACTAAAACCGCTGCCTCAGGCAGCGTTTTAGTGTAATTTTTTTTTTTTAATATCAAAAATTACGAAATTTAAAAAACAAAAGTCAACATGTAAAACGCTGTCTGAGACAGCGTTTTTAAGTTGAATTTTTTATAAAAAAACCAGGGCATGAAACGCTGTATGAGACAGCGTTTTACCCTGGAAGCTTAGTTTGGTAAATACTTTTGCCACGCAACCATTTACGTATATATTTTGCTACTTAAACTTACTTTGGGAAGACGTCCTTTTAAAAATGTATAGAATAGTAAATACATCCGCTACTTGTCCTCAACCCCCACCACCACCTACACAAACCCCAAAAACAGTTTTCCACCAATCAGCAGCTACACAGTAATGATTCACCTGAACCCCATTTGAATGATACTATATTATAAAATACTTGTATATTACAAAATTACACATCTAACTAGTGTAATCTTATTATTTATTCAAGTGTTACATGTCAACTAGTGTAATACAATTAGTATTTTATTAGTAAAGTTTATGCTTTTAATCTTCCAAAGAAAACCAAAGGGGGGAAATTTATTTTTTATTATAGAATAATCAAATTCAAAATTCCTCTTTTGCCTCAAACTTGTAACATATCCCCTCAATTCAAACAGATCCAACTACAAAAATAAGTTACCCCAAACATCACAATCAAAAGAAGAATGTGTGAATAATAGTCTAAACGGTGCAATAATTAAAGAAACGGAGGAATTAATTACAAATATTAAAAAAACGGAGGAAGTAGATAATTAAAGTTTACCTCTGGCCATCGAGGCTACCCTGGCCATTATTCCCCCACCACTAGCAGCACTTCCATAAGACCCATCGTTACCGGCCGCATGCCCACTCTGCCACACACTCTGCCACGCCGAAGACGGCGGTGACGGACCCGAAACCCCATACAACCCGGCAGGGTCCATAGCCGGCCTCCCAATCATAACCCCAGGAGGCGCCGGCTGTCCCATTGGCGGATAATAATACGAAACCCCACTCGCAGTCGGAACACCAACCCCAGGAGGCGGTGACACCCCAGTAGGCCCCACGATTCCACCAACCATTCCTAACCCAGCAGCCTCATCCTTGATCTCATCTCTAGGAACAATATCAACCAAGAAATCGAATATATCGGTACGAGTAATTGCTGCGGCTATATCGTTCTTCTGAAGCGTCCTGCGCTTGTTTTCCTCAGCGTGGAGCCATGAGCGAATAGTGAGCTCAAGAATGAACAACTCGCAGGCTTTCGCAAACAGAATTGGTGCTTCGGCGGAGATCATGCGGACGTCTTCGTCGGCTTTCATTATTTTCTTAATGCGGGCTAATGGGAGTGAATGGTTCTTGAAATCGTTGGCAGTTTCGATTTCTTGGCGTTGGTAGGACCAGAACATTTGAAGTTGTTGTTGCTGTTGTTGGAGGAGGTGGTGGTAAGGGCCGGCTTGCGGCGGCGGTGGTGGTGGGGGGTAACCGGTGGTTGATGCCGGTGGTGGTTGTGATGGTGGCGGTGGTTGTGATTGGTTGCCCTCCATTAATACCGGTGAGTTGGTTTGGGTTGAGAGGAGAGAGAAATAGGGAGGGAAGGAAGGAGGGAGATAAGGTAGAGAGAGTGTAGTACAGATTTCTAAGATGAGAATGTGATGGGTGTGGGATTTGGGAAGATGGAAGGGCCACTTTTCTTTTTCTTATTTCTATAATTTTATTTTAATAAAAAAAATTATTTTTATTTTTATTTTTATTTTTATTTATTTTATTTTATTTTTTATTTTTTTTGGGCTTGTGTGATGTGGATGCAATTAGCCTATAGGGAGGATTTGGATTGAATGAGAACTTAGGGTCTGTTCTCTTTGACTGAACTCAGCTGAACTGAACTGAACTGAATTGAGCTGAATTGAACTGAAATAAATATTTTATAAGAGAAGAAAATTAGGAGCTGAGCTGAAATGAATTGAACTGAACTGAGCTGAGCTGAACTGAACTAAAATGAACTGAATTTCAACGTAAGAGAACAGACCCTTATAGAGCCTGTCAAAAAAAAAAAAAAACTTCTACTTATAGAGGGCTTCCAAAAACAATTTTATACGATACTATTAGGACTTGTTATAGTACTACTTGAAGTATCAATAATATGACCTATATTTTACCACTGATGATATTAATAGTACTATTAAAGAGAATACTTAATACTTCCTCCGTTACGCATTATGTGCAACAATGTTGCTTGCACAAACTCCAAGAAGAAATTTCTTAAGCAAAGATTAGGAAATAAGGGGTATGTGATTAATTGGAAGAGAAAGAAACTGAAAAATTAAACACCACCTGTAGACACCAAAAAATGTCGACCCAAAACCAAACTCGATGATGAACAACCTTTCACCGCCATTATTGGTCGGGTTTAGTATTTAATATTTGGAGTGCTTAAATCCATATTCAAATTCATATTTTCATTTCATAAACCAACCCAATTCCTAGCCCGTTTCCCCAAACCTTCACTTATTTTCCTCTTTTCGTGCCTTTAAACCAAAATAATTCATTTCGTGTCTTTTAAAATCATTCATTTCGTGTCCTTTTCATAAAAATGTTTAGTCCAGTTTATTTTACTCCATAATCTGGGTCCAATTATTTAATAATTGAATGGGGCTTTAAAAGAGCTTTCCAACGATATATTATAAGCTCAAATCCGAGTTATAACAAATAAGTTATGACCAAAATACTAAATTTAGCCCAAATCGAACCTAAATCCACCTTAATTACGACCCAATGATCATGTGGAGGGTCTGTAGGGAATACTTCAAGCATTACCCCTAGCTTGAACCCAACTGTGATCATACACTAAAGTATGGTGGCGTCCAAAAGGAAAGAAGCTAGAGCAAAAGAGTTGCCAACAAGTTTTAGGAACTTGTAAACCGTTCACAGGGTGAAGGTTACACCCCTTAACGATCCAACAGATCGTCAACTCCAATAGGTCTGGAACCATGACTGGTAGTTCGGGGATGAAGGTACAAATCCAACCTAAAAGAGATTGAACCCGCCCTAATAATAGGCCTCTATTTTATTCTGATCGTATTCATGTGCGCTTTTTGACTAACATACAATCAATAGAATTAACTCTAAACATGTTTATCTATGTTGGTTGAATATTAATGCACAAATAAATCTATTATTAGCGATCACTTGAATTATAATCATATTAACCCTAAACAAGATTATTAATTATCTTATTAAGCGTGATTACAAGTACAAATTCCCTTTAAACATGCATAAAAGGTGTGATCAAGCAATAAAAATAAATATCAAGCAACATAATAAATCATACATAATAATTATAATCATAATAATAACAATAATAACTAAAATAATCATGATTAAAATAATCATGTTAAAGCATAATATTAATAGGTAGATCCTAGGTATGATACTAACAAGATTAATAATAAACCCTAGCATGTCACTAAACAATAAAAATCAAAGCTTTAACCCTAACATGATACTAACATGAATATTAGGAAAGAAAATAGGAAGTATCGCAGGAATCACAATTGTCATATTTGATATTAGAAATTATAGTTGTTACCCTAAACATGATACTAGAAAGATCAAAACACCCTAACATGACGCTAGGAATCATAATAATAACCTAGACATGATTTCTATATCATAATAACAATGTAAACAATTAAAGCACTTACTTGGATGCATCGTACCTCTTTTTAATAACAAAATACACGTGTTAGTAACTTCAAGGAAAATAATAAAATCAAAAATTAAATTAAATAATTGAAATAGAGATTTGGGACCAAACCCTCAGAAATTAAAACCTTTCACGTCTAGGGCGAAGACAACTTTGAACTTGGTTAGATGTGTTTAAATATTGTAAATGCAGAATTTTGTATAAGAAAACCTAGTTTAGAAAAGAGAGAGAGTATCAAGAATTTCTTGATGTGAGTTGATGATTGAAAAGGGGGAGATATGACCTTTATTTATAGGAAAAAAGAGAGTCGAAAAATAAAGAAAAGAATCCGAATTCAAATAGAAATAAAACTCGATGGACATCAGTTTTTGCGGATTTTGTTTTTATCATATCTTTTGATCCAGAAGTCCAAATAAGGCATATGATATGTCGTTGGAAAGCACCTGAAGTATAATTTTCAACCCAAGTATTAACATATTCTGTAGATAAAAATATATGGCCGAAATAGTAGGACAATGTCAGTTTTTGATAGAGTTTCATATCTAATTCATATCTTTTTCGTTATAGCTCGGATTTAATATTATAATATATCATTAGAAATATAATTTCAAGATCTATCCAACCATATAAAATTTGGATAAATATTACGAGGCACGAAAATAAAATATGACTGTCTTTGAACATCTTTAAATTCGAATAGAATTAGGATTTAAGTTTTAAAAAAGGAAAGTTTTTATTTAACTCAAATTCTGTAATCTTATCTTTTCAAAAAAGATAATTAAGATATTTTAGAAACTTATAGAAGCTTCTAATTAATCCTAATTAGTTTAGGAATAGGATTAAACCTTTGGACCCTCCACATGATCATTAGGTCGTAGGTAAAATCCGGTTTGGGCCTAGTTTAGTATTTTGGCCATAACTTCCTCATTATTCATCGAAATTGGGCTTATAATATATCGTTGGAAAGGTCTATTCAAGACCCATCCAACTACACTATTATTGGACCCATATCATGGACCAAACTAAACTGGAATGCACGTTTTTCATAAATAAGGTAAGAAAAAAAATATTTTCAAAAACAAAATGAAGAGTTATTTTAATAAAAACATCCTCATCACTAGACTTTTCACACTTTCGCTTTGTTCGATAATCAAATGACATGAAAGATATTCATCATTAGGTTTGGTTTTGGGGAGACACATTTGGGTGTCTACAGGGTCCAAATTATTTAATCCCATTCCTAAACCAATTAGGATTAATTGGAAGCTTCTATAAGTTTCTAAAAGATCTTAATTATCCTTTTTTAAAAGATAAGATTAAAGAGTTTGAAATTGAATAAAACTTTTCCAAATCTTAAATGTTTGAAAAATGTTCAAAGATAGACAGATATTATTTTTGTGCCTCATAGTTTTTATCCAAATCTTAAATGTTTGGATAACCCTTGAAGTTATATTTCCAATGATATATTATAATATCAATTCCGAACTATAACGGAAAAGATATGAATGAAATATCAAACTCTATACAAAATTGACACCGTCTCACTATTTCGGCCATATATTTTGTTCTACAAAATATTCTAATCTGATTCTAATTGGATTAGAAAGTAGACTTCAATAGCTTTCCAACGATATATTATTTATCTTATTCCGATTTCTGGATCAAAATATATGATAAAAACAAAAACTGTAGTCTATCGAGTTTTATTCCGATTTAATTCGGATCTTATCTTGTTTTTTCGACCCTTCTTTTTTCTCTATAAATAGAGGTCATATCTCCTCTTTTTCAATCATCAACAAGCTTGGTCATCAGATCATTCTCTCTTCCCCTCTTTTTCACCAAAAATCATTCTATTCTCTCTCCCCCATATTCTAAGCCTTAAACCTATATTCTTAATTACATCATTTCTTCCTTAAACACTCTAAGGAGTTCATACTTAACCCGAGGTTCCGTCCCTAAACCTAGCCGTGAAAGGTATAATTAACTGAGGGTTTGGACCAAATCAACTCTACTTTTTATTTAATTTAATTGTTTCAATTTGATTTATATTTTTTATTGAATTTACTAACAGTTTATTCATGATGTAGCAATTTAAGGAAACGCGGAAAGTGAGTAATTAATTACTTAATTATTCTTATTTTTATTCTTGTTGCTAGTATCATGATTAGGTTCATTTATATTTGATTTGACTAACGTTATTATTGTTGAATTGCTTCCAATATTACTATATATTTTATTATATTTTATTGATCACCGTATCATGTTTAAAGGGAATATGTAATTGAAAATCACGCCTAATAAGGTAATTTGGACGACCGGTTTAGGTTCCCTTTTAATCTTGTTATTTAATCAAGCGATCACTTATATATTGGAATTTTATGTTGCATTAATATTCAACCAATTTAGCTTAATAATAGTTTGGAGCAAATTGAATTTTGTTTGTATGCCTTTGAGATCGCAGGAATCACTTTTCACTATAAGAATCGAGTAGAGGCCAATACGGGTGAATGTGACTCCATGACTCACTTCGTACCATCATCCCCGATCCTCCTTTCGTGGTTCCGAACCATATGGAGTTAGTAATCTCATGGATTATGAATGGGGTGTAACCTTCACGGGTCAATCGTTGTTGCCTTCGTTGACCCTTAATCGTGGTTGCCTTAAATGATCCGTGAACGGTTTACAAGCTCCTTAAAAACTTGTTGGCGACTCCCTACTTTCCTTATCCCTAACCGTTGTCCCTAATCGTATATGTCAATTCCCACTTCCTATGAGTGCCAAGCATATTCACACATGCTTAACGTAGGCGCACTTCAAACGACGCCTACACCACCCAACCCAGCTCAACCTGCTGCGATGTCACCACAAACCCACGCACCTCGTAGCCACCACAAACCCACCGACCACCGTAAAGCTTTCCCACATAAACCCTGTAAGCTTTCCCACATAACCACTTTCTCACCACCACATAGAAACCCCCCACATAGAAACCGGTTCAAACCGGTGCCTTAAACCGGGTTTGAACCGCTGCCAATTGCTATTTTTCTACTAGTGATAACCACCCATCCCGTAACCACTCTTTCACAACCAATATCGTACAACCAGAACACCATCACCAGAAACCACCAAAACCCACCTTGCTGCCACCATAAACCCCGAAATGCAGCAACCCACAACCATCCAAAACCGACCGGG